GTCGTCATAATTTCCGTAACTTTAATATTATTATACATTAATACTTATATAAGTATATGGTATCAATAGTTTTCGAAATGTCGAGTAGTATAATATTAATAAAATGATATGTTCAATGTCGTCAAACAAAAGCCACGTGCGCAGACGGCACGTGTAGTAATCGTCGGGCACAATACGGCTCTTACGTGTGATATCGTAAAATAAAAAATACCGAGTGCAACTTTATCAATATTATTATATACCTACAACCTATCTATATGTATACCGTATATACAGGGTGTATCTTATGTCATTGTACGCGGCCACGCGGGGTTTTTTGACGATTACGGAACGATAATATGGAATTCCGTTAAAACGAAAAAAGACGTGTTTCTTTATTTTTAACAAGCAATTTTTTTATAACAATTTCAAAATTTTTAAACACGCAGGTGTACCAATAGCAAAATCAACTTTTTTTTTCAAATGGTAACCACTATATTTTTAATGGATTCTGGTAAAGCTTTTTTTTCTGAACATTTTGGTAGTCAAATCGTCAATTTTGGTTCTCTAGTTTATTAACTATGGTCCTCCAAAGATTAGTAAAATATGCATTAATACTTTTAATTAAAATAATGGGTATAGATTTAATTTACAAGTGCTAAACAATTTTTTCTAACTACCATTTGATACACTACAATAGTTGAATCGGTAATCTAATGAACCCACAAAAAAAAAAAAATAATAACAAACATAATTGTTTGTAAACATACTTCATTATTTTTATTTTAACATACGATCATATAAATCAATATTATTATTTTAATTTATTATTATAATCGTAGGTAATTAATTACTTTACATTTTTTTCATCACAGCTTTTCTTACAATATCATAAATAAAGTATAAACTTGATATTTTAACCATAGATTTCCTATAATGGTATCGCATCCAAAGTATGAACTTAGGAGTTGTAATTCATCCCTTTCCATCCTTTTTAGTTTTGGATATTAAAATAATAATATTGATTTTTATGATCGTATGTTAAAATAAAAATAATGAAGTATGTTTACAAACAATTATGTTTGTTATTTTTTTTTTTTTTTTTCTGAGGGTGTCATTAGATTACCGATTTAACTATTGTAGAGTATCAAATGGTAGTTATAAGAAAAAATTGTTTAGCGCTTGTAAATTAAACCTATACCCATTATTTTAATTAAAAGTATTAATGCATATTTTACTAATCTTTGGAGGACCATAGTTAATAAACTAGAGAACCAAAATTGACGATTCGACTACCAAAATGTTCAGAAAAAAAAAGCTTTACCAGAATCCATTAAAAATATAGTGGTTACCATTTGAAAAAAAAAAGTTGATTTTGCTATTGGTACACCTGCGTGTTTAAAAATTTTGAAATTGTTATAAAAAAATTGCTTGTTAAAAATAAAGAAACACGTCTTTTTTCGTTTTAACGGAATTCCATATTATCGTTCCGTAATCGTCAAAAAACCCCGCGTACAATGACATAAGATACACCCTGTATAGGTCGGTGGTTTATTTGCTCACAGAAGAGACAATTATTTCCACGACTATCAAAACAATTCGAAGTGCAGCCATTTTTAGGGTTGCGTACGGTAAAACGGTACCATATTACTAAGGCCCCGTCCATCCGTCTGTCACCAGGCTGTATCCCATGAACCGTGAAAGCTAGAAAGTTTAAATTTTCATAGATTATGTATTTCTGTTGCCGCTATAACAACAAATACTAAAAATCCTAGAATAATAATATATAATATAAGCAGTGTTTCCAACATGTTTATAGCTGATAATGATAAGGAACCCTTCGTGCGAGAGTCCGACTCGTTTTATAATATTACAATATCGCACGGGAAAATATAGGTATTATTTTCGATTTTTTTTTTTTTATGTTAAATCGTGTAGGTTTGTTTAAATCACAAATTCGTGCTCTGAAAACCGTTTTCCTAAACTTTTTGTTCATCCAAAATAAGTTTTCGAGACGTTTGTTGAGTATATTAAATTAATTTAAAAGTTGTTATAACATACAAATTATAATTAATATAATATGTACCTGTATTGTACATTATGAAAAACACTTCAAAATATTGTATACAATTTATGGTAGGTACATTTATGTAAATATGTATATATTATGTACATTTTCGTTGCATGGCGATGTTAAGTAATATTTAGTCATCACGCATAGAACAATATATACCATTGTTTCGTCTCGATCCGACACTGAACACAATTTATTATTTGTGACTAGTAACAATAGTAGACGCGTATGGTGGACTAACCTAACCAACTGCGTATAGATGATACCATTGGTTATAAATACTAGGTACTGCGTGGTATAGGTTCAGAATTTTTCCATACCGACCGTTTTAGATCAATATACCTAATATTATCATCACACCATAGCTGGGTAACTGTGTATATTATAATATTATGGTTTCGCCTCCATGATGGAAATTCAGTCGTCCACCACGAGTGTGCACGCTTTAATGTTATGTATGTACAATGTATTATAATAAGTAATAACATAGATTGTTATAATATATTATATTGTGTATATATCTGTACTGTGCGCCCGTCGTTGTCGTCCAATCGGGCGGGGGCCATCTCTGCTGGCGGCGCCCCTCGATATTATCGCGCGCGCGCGTACAGTCTGTTCTCACGACCGTCGTATGCAGGTACCTAACCTACCTATATATTATATTATAATATATTATAATGATATATACCTCTATTCCTATTATATTATATATTGTATGCGCGTCATTTTGAATAAAAAAAAAACTGCGCACACTACGACGACTACGGCGACGGCGATATTATTCATATTGTGCGCGTGTGTGTACGGCACTGTCGTAGGTACCTATAGAGTATAGACTATTGTGGCAGATAAACAGCTATATACATATTATTATTATACGGGGTAAAGTAAAATATAATAATAATAATAATAACGACGAAATAGTAGTATGGACGTCACGGGGAGGCGGCGTGACGGGCCGGTGGAAAGGGAAACACAACGCGGTTGTAGTATTTACATATATATATATACAGACATATACATATATATATTATGTGCTCACGTAAACGGCGCGTACCTATATAACAATAGTGGAAAACAATGGCGACATACACACACACGCTCACACCGCCGGGACCCTTCTGCTCGTCGTAAACAACAATAACGAATATTATAATGCCGCTCGCGCATATATATATTATATATGTGTGTGTATAAAATATATACAGCGGCGTGCGTATTGTATGCGTATAATCGTGTGCGGATATCATCTACGGGACTGCCGGCCATTCGTTGTTGTCACAAACGCGATAGATATACATATAATAATATATATAATATATACCGGGTCTCTTCTTTTTTATTTTTTTTCATCTTTTTCTCCCGTCGTGTGTGTGTGTGTGTGTGTGTACGTGTTCTCTCCCGTAAACCGTATACTAGTACACACACTCACATACACGCATATGACCGCGCGAGTGTATAGGAATTTCCCATTGTTGGAGGTGTATGTATATCGTATGGTCGTATAATATGTATCCTGCTGTACCTACCGCGCCGCCGCCCCAGGTATATAATAATATAAAGTCGGAGGTCGTGAACGCGCCACCGACCGACCGTTGCTGCAGTTGGTCCACATTTGCATAGAATGTATACACCGTGAGTGTGTGTGTGTTGTTTGCACGGGCGGAAAACGTGAGCCCGCGTCGTCTCGTATATAGCCGGCCGAGGCTGTGCGCACGCGTACACGCGTCCGTGTACCTATATAATATACATATATATATATGTGCGTTAAGTTTTTCTCCGGGTCTTTGTGCGCCAGTAGATTTTCTTCTTTTTTTTACCCTCCGACGACGTTTTGTTTCATCTGCGACGAACACACGACGACCACGTCGTTCCTTCTCTTTTTTACGACGACTACAATATTAGGTATATATTATACGCAGTCTGCAGGTTGGTAGGTGGGTGGGTGGGTACCGCGAGTATACGCCGCAGCCGTGAAAAACCTATTGTCATATAAATATACGTTTCTTGCGTTTGTTTTGGTTTTCTGTTGCAGGGTTCGCGTCTGCAGTGCGATGCGACGAGATAAAGTTTTGCGTTTATATTTATTTCCTCGTCTGATATAGGATATATTGTGGGAATGTATCGTGACGTATAGCTGTCCACATCTCTTCATGACGTTCCATATATTATTGCCTATAGGTACCGCTATACGCTCGTATCGGTTTCGCTTCAGTTCGTAATATTTATACCTGGTATGTCTATATAGTCTATTTAAATAAACTACAGTATAATATAATATAATATCAGCGAAACCTATTGTTACCACACATTTTGACAAAAGGCGTTTTTGCTGCAGCCTAAGAATAAATAACGATACATTTTTATAAATTATTAAAATGTCACCACAATGTTTTTTTATTTAAGAGAAATGTACATGTTTTACAAAGTAGGTAGGTATATTATGTATAGACACAAGGGAAGTAAGGACAACATCGATTTATACAAGTTACGCTTATTAAATATGTATTCATATATATATACATTTATATAATATTATATACTACTCTCGAACATCGTTACTAAAGACTAATAGTATTTTTTTTCTCTCATTATTTTTTTTTCAAACCGTTATACTTTCAACAATATAAATATTTAATTAAAAAAAAAAAAACCAACAACTTAAGTTACTTATAAATGTTTTGAAAATATTGCACGTATACAAAACTGGCTCATCGCTGTTTGCTCATATTTTTTTTTACATAAACACCGACGTTTATAATATATTATTATATCATTACTTTATTCGTAATCCCCCCCTATATACACACACACACACACACACACATACACACACGAGTTACGTATAATATACTATAATATTTCTTTATATAATAATATATACTTTGACAGAGGAAACGATAATATTATTATATTATATTATTTTTTGTGTTGTAGTCGTGGTTCTCTACGAGCCGCATTCCATCGGCGACGATGTGCTCAAATAGCTCCTGGGGCTCATCTGCATAGCGTGGTGTTGTTGCTGCTGTTGCTGCTGGTGGAACATAACCGCTTCGATGCCGGTCGAGCCCGTAGAGCTTTCCGAACAGCTTTTGTCGGGTTTTATGGACGGCGGCGCCAACGATCCCAGACCGCCGTCTTGTTTGGTGGCCGTCCGCCTGTACTTTGCTCGAGCGTTTTGGAACCAAACCTGTAACACACAACCGTATAATTTAAAATAATATATTATATGAGTAAACTATAATAATATATTGTAAGCATTCGTACGATGAATATTATACGGTAACGCACGCGCTGTATTGTATATTATTGTATTATTGCCGTATGATATGCGGTGGTGAAAACTATAATATAAAAGCGATTGCGAAAACCCTTAGCGCATGGAAAAATAACAATAACGTACACAGCGAGTCACGCGATCGCGTGCGCTTAACGACGATAAATAGTTTTGTCCACTTGTAAGAAAATTAATTCAATTTATTTTCCAAACCCCTAAACGACGGCACAGGTTTCTGTCCGACCGCTGCAGCGACCAAAATCCGACAACGCTCGCGTAATTGCCGATGATAAAACAATATTCCACACGGAATAAACCTACACATATTATAATAGTTACATTATATTATACGTAAAACGCCGCCGTTTTAACAAACACGTAATAATAATTTTTATGTATTTGTGTTACAATAACATAGTATATACGATTGGAATACACCACTACACGTCGTCGTCGTCGTTCGTTTAATGGTGTGACACATGTGCACACCGCACACCACAAGTGGCCTTGTGAACACAAAATCGCCATGATCTCATCAACGTCAATATACCGTGCGAGTTGTTATATTTATAATCGTATAAATAATATTATAGCGTACGCACACGAAATAACGCGTATATTTATACACTGTGAGTATAAAATTATTATGTAAGTACCTACCTACATGGAATATTACACGCGCACCGGAAAAGCGTCGTTTCCTTACGTTACATACTTTCCTTCGCACACGCCACCGGATGTATCTCATCATCTTGGGCGATCGACGCCGCGAATAAACCGTGTCGAAATCGACGGGTTTTTTTTGTCGGTTTTTTTGTGTCTATACGTTTCTATAGTGCAGCTCGCCTCTCGGGTATACGAAAATAAACGTGTATCTGTAACGTCACAAAAGTCGTGACTGCCGTTCGTATAAAGCGGGATAACCGTCAAAAGTGCACGGGGTCGACGATAAATCATCGGCCGGTTTTCAGTCAAAAACGACAATTTGTTTTCGTAGCTCAGTCCCCCCCTCCGGTCTACTTTAAAATAAACTCAGCGTACGAGCGTATAGTAAATATATATATATATATAGGTACATACACATTTCACAACAACCTAAGCCTTTGTTTCGGAGGCGGCTGTGGCGGCGGTTTGTAGATTAATTGACGTTCATCGCGCGGTCGGTTACGCGGCGGTCCCATCAATCTTATCGGGTGCTTGGGCGGAAGCCAAAAGATCTCGCTGGGAGGAGCAAGTTTATAGATACCTCACACGAGCATACAGCGGAATGAAAGCGGGGAAAACGGCAACGAGGATTATACGTGGTATATATACTGCAGCGGCGGCGGGACGGAAAACCGATTGAAAAGAAAGAAGAAAATGGCCGGAGTGGAGAAGGTAGGGTCGAAACATAAATGAAAACTGGGCGAGAAGTATATAATTAGTGTCACGTCGACGGCGGGCAGCTGCGATCATATATTTTTAAATCTCGGCTGTCGCCCGAAAATAACGAGTGGGATATCGCTTATAGTAATTTCTACAGCAGTGCTGTACGGAAATCCAATGCTCGCTCTGAACAACACGGAGCAAACAGACCTGTATATAGTCGAAAAATTGGACAGGAAACCGTGTAGGTAGGTGACGCATATTATTTGTCTGTTAATCGTGTAGTAGAGCGCGTTGTCCAAAGAACGGATTTATAATAACAGATGAAGCGACGAGGACGCAAGGTTTAAGATGTATTAAGGATATTATATACTTAGATATAAATATGGTGATATAATTATAATAGTGTATTATTATATATATATATTATTATATACCAGCTCGGTAGGACGCACCTACACCAAAATTGTTATATTATCATCATATCTGATTTATTACCTATACACAAAAACCAATATTGTGAAATATTATAAATACCTACTTATAATATCAATCATCTGTACAGAACACCATAAATATGTGCTGGTATTCTATATGAGGTGGTTAGTATTATGACGCGTCTGTCTACTTAGAGTACATTCTGTCATTTTTTGAGTTATTGTGAGTTATTTATTTGTTGAGGTTTTTGCAAGTTCATTACAATTTATATTAAAAATAGCATTCACCATTCCGACCAATGGAGAGCGTAATATTTAATATAATACACTAAAAATTACAACTCTGAAAATTGTATAGACCCCAAGACTAAAAACCCCAAACTCAAGACACTGTAAAGTATTATGACGGCACGTACAAGTCGAATATAGGGAGAAAAACCAAGGTGCAATTGTTATGGAACTGTACTCTCCGTCAACCACATAATTACAGAATGCCTCCAACACGTAAACGAACTCAGCAGCCTCAACATACCTAACACCCTAGATGCAACACTCGGGCCGCCTGACACGGACACCACTAAGCCAATTATAAAGTTCTTAAACAAAACCAAATTGAACAACATAGTTTAACAAACAAACAAAATTGAAACTATTAAGGCCATGTAGTCATTAAGAACAATAAAGAAAAAACTTGAATACGGAATAAAGACGAGTGGTGCTTTGAATATGCAATAAATACATTTAAGAAAGGCACATGAAGGAATAATGCAAGTGGACATCTATCAGTCCTACACTATAATTCGTTATTGAATGGTTTTCACGGTCTATCAAAGTTCTACTGCACTTCTGAACAATTCGTTGATACCCAAACTGGAAACGGACACACATTTTCCTGCAGAAAAATTGAGATGTATTTGTGATATTATTCTGTTTAGATATATATAGCTGGTTATTATAGACAGCCAGACTGGTCACATATCTACTGTAGGCACATAATATATTATATTTCCGGGTTTATAACCTACCCATATTAGACGAACTATATCATCGTACTCGCGGGGGCTATGTCGTGCGCGGCAATACCTTTGCGATCGGGAAGAAGAAACATCGGCGGCGTATCTATTTCGGTTAACCGACTGCGCGCGCGCACACAATATACATACAGTTATTATTATCACTATTATAATTATGAATTATTATAATAAAACATATTTACACAAGAGCAGATAGGGCGTGATAAAAACCGTCACGGCCGTCGATCGCATACGCGCTAATTAACGGAGCTTTATTTCAGCGGCGGCCGCCACGCCGTTGCGGTAGTCACGCGGAACACGCGGCCGCGACCCTTTTCGGCTGCGTTGCAGCGGCGGTGTCGCGGCGAGCGCGCGCGCGATAATAATAATATATCACATACGTCGTGCACGCCGCCATGCGCGTTTTTTCGTCGACCGTTTTAACGCGACACGCCTAATTGCCGGCGGCCGAATATCATCTCTCGCGGCGGTCCCTTTGCAGCGTCTCCTTTGGGCCCCGACGGCGGTCGACCGCGGACGGAAATAGCGCACCTCCCGGGGATCTATGTGGCGTAACGTCCGTCTGGTGCAGTGCGATAGCGGCGTTTCCCGCACTTGAGTACACCGCGGAAAATTCAAATAATATTATATCATATACAATATTATTCTCTTGGAAATCTGAGTATATTTCTTTGATAGCGGTTTTTCCTAGTCTGAGCACATTTACTAAAACTTCAACTCGTTTGCGCACAGATACAATGCGATTATACAGTAGAATTATCCTTTGCATTATTAAAGTGCCTCTGGAATGCTTCAGCCCCGTCCGTTGTGCTTACCGGTTGTCCATCGTTCTGTATGCCACACCCCTCTCGCCACTGCGTGATGGGTTGAAGTTTGAACTATAGATAAAATATATATACGATGCAAAAACATAATCAGAGACGTACAATCCATCGGGTACATTAATATAGCTATTCAATTTCCAAAATACTTTATCTCTATTTCTACAGGAGATAAACATACCTATTGCAAACCGAATAAATATTTAAACCAGCTATCTAGTATCTACCAATAGGTCTATTTAAGTCTTAAGATTTTTGTTTTGAACTATATACACCTCTAAATTATAATGAACTATACATATGTATACCTATGCAAAACGACTGTAAATGTGCCGCCATTACTATAATATGCGTGTACACTGTACAGACACTGCGAAGAACATTGTTGACGAATGGCAAGCGACAATTTGTTTGTTAAGAAATTTCCCACGACGAGCAAATAGATAGCCGCTACTGTAGTACGCTAATTGTTACACCGTGTGTTTTTCTCGAGGGTAGAATTATAAAATACCGACCAAACTAATTACTAACAATGTCGTAATTGTTTTTAATAATTATACTCTGAGCTTCGTGTAAACAAAGTGCCGACCGTTTTTTTACGGAATATAAGAGAAAACAAAATCCCAGATATTATAACCTAAATACCCGTGACCCTGTCCCGTCTACAAATTCACACATTGCACTAAATTCGTAATCGACTGGTAATTTATTATTCAATTTGGCAGTAAAAATAACCGGTTTAATCGATCAAATCGGATAGGCACCAAGTACACACACATGGGACACATATGTAGATATGTATTGTACATAGTTTTAATTATGAGCTTTTAAAATCGTTGTTTTATTATTTCAATAATTCAAATATTCTTCGAAGAGAGTCACTCGAATAATCACAAAAATACTACCTACACATACATAATTAAATTTTAAACATTATTACAAGCAAACTTGAAATTGTTAAGACTTTATTTTTTTTTTTTTGTTGCTTTGCGCATAATATAATTATATAATATTACATTACATAATTGCTCCAGTTGAAAAATAGATGATGATTGAAAACTATACTATAAGAGCACCATTCCGGGTCATCGGTACGAGCAGGAGATGAATAAGGTTTACAATAATCGTACGTATACCCTCGTGATACGATATAAATTATTATCCCGGTCCATCGTGCTCAGTGAATGTTATATATACTACAATTGTCCCTACCTGGATATGCCAATCGCGTAGATGTATTACGCACTGTTGGCAGGGGAAGGAATGAGAGAAAAACAGTAAAATATCGAATACGGTGGCTAGAGGAAAAGAGAGGACAAAAGAAACGGAGCGAAAAACGTTCGTTCTCCTTTAGGAATGGTGACGGACGGCCATTACCGTTTGCGAGCGGTGTGTAAAACTCGGACCCCGGCAGGTAATTGTGACAAATTACGAGAGCATGCGAAATCGGTTGGCCATCGCATCAAAGCGCCGCCGACCGCAGCAAACATGCCGCCGCCGCCGTCCGTGATGACGACGACGATGACGGTCTTCGAGAGGAAAAAAATTCATATTGCTGAGCGGCGAAGAGACGGCAACGAGCGTGTGTGTGTGTATCTACTATAATATCTTATAGAAGGGATGTGAGCAAAGAACGACAAAAAAAAAAAAAAACCATTCTCGACCGAGAAAATAGCGTACGGACGATGTAGAAAAAAAAATAGCGAAATACACATAGTACAATATATATACACATAAAGGCAGATATACGCGAACAGAATGTTAAACGGCCATCAAACGGGTTTGCACTATTAATATGTCGTCTCTTCGCTCTCTCCGTCCATCTCTCTCCCTCAGTCACACACGTGCACACACACTGCTCTATGAGAATAGTGCGGCGGCGGACCATGGTGCTGGTATATATTATTATTATTATTATTATTATTATTATTATATACGGGAGGATGGCCGCCGCTGAATTGTTCATTGTTTTCAAACAATGCGTATTGATAAATGGATATTTCGTATCTTCTTTTTTATTATTATTATTATTTTTTTGCCGTATGTATAATGTATAATATTATATGTATTTTCATGCTCGTGTGTCGTTTGTGCGTACACCTCTCTTGCGCTTCGTCCGTCGCGGCCATAGTCGCGTCCTACGCCCGCCGCACTGCCACCGCCCCGAGGACGAGATGGGTTTGTGAGCGTATAATATACAGCACAAGAAAATGCGGCGAAGCACCTGCCATTTTCTATATGTACCTACACGGAACGTATATACATCGGCAAACCAGTTGCGCGTATCATACATACAACGTTTGTGTGAGTATAAGCATCAACTGTCGAGGGAAAGTTTTTTTATTTCATATTTTTCTCTCCCGTTTTGTACACGATATGTATATATATATATATATATATAATATATTGTATATAATCGAGGAACGTTATATACCATGCGAATTCGTCTGCAGCACGCCGCCGCCACCGCAGCGGGGCGGCAAAGAAGAAGCAAAGACAGTGCTTTGTCGGTCCGGGAAAAAAAAATATACCGTTTTATACGCGGTCTTACTAAAGTGTACAATATACCTACTATATATATACATGACGTACATAAAACAATATGACGTAGACGCGTAATTCGACCGTAGACCTCTAAATTTATATCTATATATATGTGAACATTATACTGCATATTACGATAGTTTAACGATACTATATGGACATAACATAAGCAGCAGCATAGTGTATATTAGAGTCACGTTTGTAAGGCTATTTTTTATCCGTCAATGACACATGCCTTCGTCAAAACATTACAATATCGTTGGATGAACAATATTTTTTTAAACTTTCATCGCCAGCTATATTGTTATTATAAGACACGACTTCGTTATTGTAATCTTAAAACTGTGTTGTACTCAGATATATTATTTAATATATAAAAATGAATTATATATAAAACATATTATATTTGATTTTTTTGATTACAATACACCGCTTCGTTCGATACTTATTAATATGTATTATTATTATTATTATTATTATTATTAGTATTACTTTATAATATACTAGTATAATATAGATTTATGCTGGCATGAATTGAATACGCAATGGCGGCGCTGGCGGAGATCAACACAATTATATAATATTATCGAAATCGTGTAAAGCAAACGCCGTTGATTCGACGTGCCGGGGCTAAGGTGATATTGTTGTGTTGCATGCCATATATTATAATAATATTATGTTATACATATATATACATCGACGGGAGCGTCTAGATATTACCTACGTATATTGTATATAATATATTATTATTATAATTTATAATACACGTCTGCGGCGAAATAGTTTTCGTTTTGATTTACGAACCGCCGAAAAATTGATGTGAAGCGCTCGTTTAATAAGGAACGGCCAGTGAGCTTTTGGGTCTTTGAAATGCAGCCGGCGACGAGTCTGCAGCGTGTCGGTAAATCTGTCGTCGGCGCTTAAAACTCCTGCGAGAGACCGAACCAATTATTATTATTCCCTCTGTACACGGCCGATGTCAAAGTTTTTAAGTATTTGTCAAAGTTCGTGTAATTATTCATCTGGTCGGTGTTTGAAAATCTATATAGGCATTGAGCACTCACCGTAGGTGTATACGTATATCGAAATACTTGGCCGCGATGTGTTAACGTTTTGTCGGATTCCGAATACGAATTTCTTCAACTTAATTTATTTAAAATTATTATGCGTGTCTGCGTGATGTATTGCACTTAAAAAGTATGTATATATCGCGGAAAATAATATATCCCCTATTTTCCTATACACATAATTTTAAATTCACGTTGAAGTGGACATCATTATTATTATTTATGGAAACGGAAAAAGTACAAATTGTACATAGGTAAAACGCATTTTTTCTTTTTATGAGCAATAAAAAATATAGGTACATGTAAATACGAGGATCAAACATAAAGCCCATCAATAACTTTAACGCTTAATGAAAAAAAACTGTGTATTTATACTGTATATATTAAAATATTTCACCGGTAGTAGGATAATAATACTGTACCTATATTCATATAATCTATTATATATACAGATTTATGTATAATATTCATATACAATGTATATATTATAGATGAGTGTATATATATTGTAGTATAAAATGAAGATCTGTCGGAAACAAGAGAAATAAACATAAAGGTTTATGACGTGTTAACTCCGCAATGACGGTCGTATAATATTAGGTATGTATTTATACCGTACGCATATAATATGTATATTATGTAACCACGATAAGATTTTTACTATTGATTTTTTTGGATTTTTTTTTTACCGGAATGTTTTTAGATGAGACAGGTACAGTAAATTAGTCATTTATTATACTGTATATAAACGAGAGTCAGCTATTTATAAGAATAAAATATTGGTAACCAAATGTTTTTCGAAAACTCACCACCGTTATATAATGTATGAAGGTACGTATAGGAATTCAAATATAATATACCTATTTATTATAGCGATGTGATATAGAAAAGTCATCATTCGAATGGTCGCCGCAAAAAGCGATAGCTTTTTAAAAATGGTTTGTCATCTAGGCACATGGTTAAGTACATATAACATTAAACAAACACACATATTATAATAATATTATGTATAATATAATAGGTACGAATAACGTATATATATACGAAATGGCCACAATTGCAAATGGATTTAAACACGCGAATCCCATAAATCGTCAATACTGCGGCGGACCGTTTATACAGCTTATAATATGTATATAATATAATATATTACAGTGGTACACCATAACATAATACGCATATTATAATACGGTGGTCGCCGAAAGCGAAAACGACGTCCGAGCATAAATAACTCGTGTAAATAGGGAGGGTAAGAGAGGGGCCCGAAGCGTTACTATTTTGTTTTATGCGCGCGCGAGAGCGTCAGTGTGTGTGTGTTTTTTTTATTACTACTTTGTTTGTATTTTATTCATTCGGTGGTGGTATATACGCACTGCCCAAGGACGATTTATATGCATTTAGAAGAAATATATACATGAATAAATTATAAATCACTTGTATCTTGACGCGTTTTTTATATTCTTCTCTTTCCTAATAAGTTTTTTTTTATCGTTATTATTTGCCTGCCCCCGTCGAAAATCACGTGTGTCAGCAGTGGTATTTTCGTCTTACAACGGAAACGATCAAATCCTATTATAGAGCCGAGCTATTTCAGAACTATGGTCGGCGGCGGCGACTGTGGCGGTGACGAAGGTGGCGATCATAAAGTATTCACGTGCTAATACAAACAGACAACTACCACACTAACACTATTATAATGCACCATCACAGCATTTTCAGCGAACAGAAACATTTTGGTCCGATACAATATAAAAACAAAGTTTTACGTAGTTTATTTGTACTGAAGGTACGCTTTGAAAACCCATCGTTGGCGTTTTTGCATGGAATCGCGTTTACGAATCATCCTCAATATAATATACATTACACATATTCTTAAAAAATTATACTAAATAAGGAAAAGGTTGTGTTCGGAAAATGAAAATTCAAAAACTCCAGTGTATAGTGGAAATTTTAAAAACCTAAGCATACTTAGGTATATAATACCTATACCTCGTACCTATATCATAATATTATATTATTTTATCGGCAACGACATTTACCTGTAGCACCCGTTTGGGAAGGCCGGTCTTTTGCGAGAGTTGTTTGAGATCCTTGGCGTCGGGGTTGTGGTTGTGATGGAAGTACGACTTCATGGTGCGCAATTGGTGGTGCTTGAACGACGTGCGCATGCGTTTCGTCCGCTGGTGACCGGACCCACCGTTACCGCCGCCGGACAAGCCAGCCGGGCCGAACGCCATTTCCATGTTGTACGAATCGCTCGAGTTCATGTCTGAAACACAACAAACCGTAAAAGAGACTGTTATTACTTTTGCCGCTCATTCATTGGCGCAACTAGGGGGGTGAAAAAGGGTCTTTAGTACCCCTAAGTTCTAATTTAGCACCCCTTGTTTTTGTAGGTCTAACTATCATTATTATATTGAAATACCATAAATTCTGTGTTTTTAAAATATGAAATATTATAGCACCCCACGTTTTAGAGGTCTAGTTGCGCCTATGCGCACATTAAATAATAATAATCTCAAACGTGGGCGCAATTTTCGATGGATATGAATTATGCCAATATTAGGGGATGGTAAGAATAGACGAATAAGTATACATCTAATTTAACCTCACAAAATCAAAGAAAATATCTTTTAATAGCGCAGTAAACGTTGCTGAGTACCCCCACCCTTACCCACACCAAATTTCGACCGTTCTCGAGAAACCACTCGGGAATTGGAAATATATTACATTATATTCGACAGCAAAATATTTACGACACTGTGATTTATTTATATTATAGGTATAGTAGGTATACGCTTTTTTTTTTTGTTATCAGAAGATCGTATCGAAACGACGTCCTTCACATCCCAATGCGTTTTATTGCTTCTGAGTTTGTGCGGTTTGGCTGTGCTCGATGTTTTTCAAAATATATATGTATACATAATGTAGTAGAAGATTTGAATATTCTCGTCCTACTTACTGCTGCATACATAAATATTATAGTTGGTACACAATAAGTACACAATAGGTTCTTCGACGTGTTTTAAGACATTTTTACGTTTGTACATTTTGTGAATATTCAATTTAAAATACCTAACGTTCTAAAGCAATACTGCACTGCGGATCAAACAATTCAATACCCGCCTACGGGATGATATAGTTTATGTATATGTTATGATAAATATGCAACGAAATTAAAATGTTTTCAAGGAAACCTACATTTAGGTCTACACATAGGTGCGAACACCCGTGTATGATAAAAATGCATTTATTTATAATTATAAAAATGCACATCGTAACATTATTTTTTATTATATTCTACACAGCAGTAAATATACGACCGTTACGATGCTTTTATCGATTAAAAAGTCGTCCTTGGCAGTCGTTGCAACGGTACATATTAATATATTATTATAAGTATACACACACACACACACACACACTCGTTTATGCGCGCCGACAGTTGATTGTAGCAAGAGGGTGTGATTGACGTGTAATGGCTATATAATAATATAGGTGCACATATATATATTGCTACTATAGTATTTATGTATGCGGAGACGTCAAAGTATATAGTTTTACCATAATATAATACTCACCGCAAGCTGTCCGTCACCTCCCTAACGAGACCAATTAAACTTTTTCGAACTAAAATAGCTACCACGGAAGGAACACTGAATGCAGTAACAGCAGGATTTAAGTATGTATGTACACGAAAGGGAACCGTATCGTATAGTTATACCCAAGTTATGTATACACGAATAATTATTCCATTTCCTCTAACCACCTATACCTAATAATATTATTATCATACAATCCGCCGAGTTCATAATTCGACCAGTTCAAATAATATTATACACACACGCACACACCCCACATACATATCTCTGTATCTAAGGTATATTTTATAATATAAAACATTCACCGACGCTGATTACAAAACACGAAAAATGTGCTCCTGTTTTTTTGTTCTCAGAACGATATAGGTAAAAGTACATAGTATATAATATTATTGTTAAAAACATGTTTTATTCTTTCTTTACATTATTATTATTATAATTATAACTACTTATGCTGCTTTTATTATTATTATTACTTATTTTGATATTTTTTTAACGCTTGCCACACCATATTAATAATAATAATATATAATAAGATATTATAGTACAAGTGTACATAATAATATTATCACAACCAGAAAGGTTATCGAAATGTCTTATAATAACGTACTCCGACGTGTTGGGTGTGTGTGTTCCTCCAATATTTTTACAATGCCCTTAATATTATAGTACCTATAAATATATATATAAAGAGCGCGAGTTATCACTAAAATAATCGCACTCGTACCTATAACTATGTTCGTTTGTGTATGTATGTCTATAAAATATACATATTATATATTACAATAAATGTTTATACATTAATTGAAGCACCGTGTGGAAACGATTAGATAATAACGTTTTGGAATGCCTTCTATATTATATTATTATAACGTCCGAAAACATAGTTATGTAGTGCGGTAGCGCGGGTCAGACCGGAGTCATCCATCGGGTGATAAAAATTGTTAGTGCCGGCTGCTGGAGTTCATCAGTGCTCGGATAACCCCGACATGCCAGCATTATGTATATTATATTTAAATATATGAATATAATATATACATCATACATAATATTATATCATATTATTATATTTTATATTTTTATCGATAGCTGTATTTATGTTATACACTATATAATATTATCGTCGTGAAGCGACTGCAGATACCGAAAACACCGAACCATAAATATTGTTAATGATAATATCATGATATATGTATATAATATACTTTAGATAAATGGAAAAAAAAACGTGCACCTCAAAAGTAAATTAAAGTAAAAACTAAAAAGTATAAAATAATGAATGATATTTTATAGGCATACCTACTAATTTAAATATTTTTTCCCATATCTATGTGTACACTGGCACACTGCAGATAAGTCTACTACACCTATAATATATATATAATATGTATATATATATATTATATATGCATAAACAAGACGATAGTTGAGTCATATATTAACAGTTTTAAATTTTGCACGAACTACTAGTCACACAGGTAAACACGTTTTTACGGAAACGTTTAAAAAACCATAAAACTAGTTTATTATAAAATTGTTTCAATAATACGCCAGCGATGGGAAATAAAACAATTCAATTGTCACATTTCAACTACACGTCCATAATAGTCCAAACACTCTAAACTATATATGTAGGTGTATATTATATGTATAACATATAAAGTTAGTGCATTACTAATTACTATAGGTACTTCTGCTACCTACTAAATATAATACAAGGTTCCTCAATTTACTGATTTTTGGCGCAATTAAACACGTTGTTATAAGATACGCCGCACGTGACGGTATAAAAATAATATTGTGGCATTGCGCAGTAGTTCCCTCAAGTTTTGTGTACATAATTTATAAGATAAAATTTCAGCAGCAGTTATCGTCGACCTCAGCTCTCTGTGCAGTGTATAGGTATAATGTTTGTATATATAATATGTTATATTTTATGTACCTACGGATTTCCCACTTATTGACAACAGCTGTATATAGTGTCCTGCAAGACTCCTGCAAAGTGTTTTCTACGAACGTTACTGGGGCCAAGCCCATATCTAGATTTTAAGATGATAATTAAAAAATTCCCATATTTCGGTGTACTACCAGAAAAGCCGAATGACATACGCAGACTTGTTTGCGAATAGTGGAGACCGAAGTCCCGGTGAAATCGCAGCCGTTTAAATACAGAAAATATACGTGTACTGTACACGTAATATAAACATTTGCATGAATAAACAAGCAGTATAATACTAAAACAGCACGTAGATATATCATATTGTATATGTATAGCGCATATACGGTTTATTACTGGACGATACGGACATGTTGAGACAATATTCTGTGCGGATCGGATACGGCTTATAATGGCGAATAAAATATATTATATAGATAAAAATATATTAAATGGGTTAATAAAACACGTCGATGGCAATCGAACACACGTGTCAAACTAGTCGACTTTTAAAGTCATTTGAGGCAAAATCGATTTTCTAAAGCCGGACCATATTATAACCGCGCGCGCCATTGTAATATATTATTATATTATATTAACACGGCAATGTCAGTAATTTGCGCGGTTACAAACGATAAACGATTAAACGGTCGCGGAGGATAAAATATAATATCATAATTGATTTTTCTAAAGCGTGTGCTGCGAAAAAAAAACAACTCGTAAACACAAATTGCCATATAGAAGAAAACTGCACGAAGTCTGCACGTGTCTCGCGCGACCGATTTCTATCGCAAATTGGTATCATATACGAAAATAACGATTTCCCGCGATACGTAGGTATATGTTATACTACATATTATATAGAGGATAAGTTTATATATATGATTATATTATTATACGAGCACAATTATTATTATAGTCGTAAGCGAGGTAAAAAAATCAATTACGCGCGATCCGGACACTATACTCGATACCTACATGACGATTACGACGGAACGGAAACAACCCGAGAACGGTATTACGATATTATTATTATTGTTTATTATATACCAGACGTGGTAACCGTTATATGCGTATAATATATGTGTACACAGCGTGTTTGTATAACCAACACGTGGACGCCATTATATATTGTTATACATATAATATAGAATATATTATTATAATGTGTTGTATATGCGCAGAGGGTATTATTAATGGACAACCGATTACCACGCGCGCGAACGGAAGCGTCAACACCGCACCGGGCGCCGAGGAGTGTCGCTCCCATAGACCAATCCACCGCAAGCGCGCGTGTACGTCGTCCATTCACGAAATCACGTCGGATCTCGCGGTATTTTATATTATTACTCTCTGGTCCGATCTATATAATATTATCTATTACCGTGATCACGTCCAGGAGGGGGGGGATCCGTGTAAAATAATATAATTTACCCTGCGCATGCAGTGAATTGTGATAGACATAATATTCGAATATAATTTTTATAATGTTATACACCTGTCGTAGAAAGGTGCGACGGACGTTTATTGTATCGGTGTACATGTAATTTGCTCGACGTTTAAAAATTAATTTTGACGATTTGTGCCACGTAAAACTTTAGGCAGAAGGGCATTGAACACGATAATGTATTCTGCGCAATCTCGTACGCACAAAAGTCGTCATCTGCGCCGTTAAACGCACCTAATATCGAACTTTGCGCCACTTAAAAATAGTTGATAATAATTTTGAAC